ATGAGGTAAGAGACCTCGCGCACATCCAAGCAGCGGCCTACCAGCAAAAAGTAGCTCGGTACTACAACACCAGAGTAAAGAAGCAGAGCTTCCGTGTCGGCAACCTGGTTCTCCGTAAGATCATGGTACCCAAACCTGGCGTGGGCAAACTCGGACCAAATTGRGAAGGACCCTACAGAGTAAATAAAGCACTCGGGGGGGCATACGAGCTCGAAACCTTAGAGGGTAAGCAAGTACCCCGAGCATTGAACATCGTCAACTTAAGGCAATACTACCTATAGACCACCAAGCAGAGTAGATAAAATCGCCACCAAAGCCCAAGGGCTAGGATGCCGAGCTAACGAAGGAACCTCGGCATAGGCAAGCCAAGAAAAGTCAGCCAAAGGAAAAACGGAGACAACGAACTAATAGGGACATCGGCATCTCAGAGCACCAAAACAGGCCGCGCGAGTGCGGTAACCCGGGCAGGAAAAAGACCGGACGTATGGTCAGTTCGCCAAATACGTTTAGTTCGGGAGAAAGAACAACCAACACTTAACCAAAAAGAAAAGTCATTCCATTTCAAAATAAGGGAGTACATTTCGAAAAAAAAAAAAATTTACAGGCCCGAGGCTACTTCCTCATTATCAGAAGGCACTTCAACAATACCCGAAGGTCCCGCCTCGCCCTCGGAATCTGGCTCACTGTCTGCAGCATTGGCCATCTCCTGAGTTATGCGCAAAGTGGATATGGCACTAATATCAAGCTCGGGGTACGTATTCCGGATCATCCACTGGCTTAGCTTGAAACCCCTTCGGTACGAATCCACCATCAGGTCGTCAAAGCCCGGCAAGGCGATGTAATCATCGACGGCCTTCTTCTTGGCATCTTCAATACCTTGAGAGAAGATCTGCGTCCTCTCCCTAATGTCCTCCTGAAGATACTCGACCCGATGCTGCAAATCCAGCCTCAAGTCCACCATATGTTTCACTACGACTCCCATGGCCTCGACATCTCTCTGAGACCTCGCCTACCTGGACTGTGCAACGCGAGCAGCCGCCTCAGGAGCTTAGGAAGCCGCCTCAGCAGCACGAAGAGCCTCTTCGGTAGCTCGCGCCTGCCTCCAGCTCCTTTCCACATGGGTCGCCAAGGCATGAATAGAAGAGTTTACCTACCAAAAAGAAAGAACGAGTGATTAAAAGAACGACAGCAAGAAGGATAAAAGCAGAAGAGTTGAATAAAAAGTCCGACTTACCATCATGGCATGAGTAACAGCACGACAAGCCACCTGGTGCAGAGGGAGATCAATCCACGCCGCGACCTCCTCGGGAAAAATGGCCTCCTTACTCTTCTGAAGAGCGTGGGTCGGCGACAACACACTCCTGAATTCCCCTGGGGCCCCCAAGCCCGAGGGCCCAGCTCGCGTATGAGCAGACCCAGAATAGGTGGGAGCCCCCGTGTAAGTAGTTTCAGCATACGGGCCCCCTGCCGCTTCTTGCATTGGAAGAGCCATCTCGGGCTCCCTGGAACCTCAGGCTCCACATCCCGGGGCAGCTCAGCACGAGTTCGCTTGGCGACTCGCTTCCTCCTCTTCATGCCTTGAAACAAGTGCCCACCACGGGTCCCTCCTGAGTCCATCACACCTGCAAAAAAGAGGTTCGGCATCAAAAGAAAGCAAGAGACAGAGYAAAATAGAACCTCTAAGTAAGGAACCTACCCGAACTCAAGCCGGCCGCAATGAGCTTGGCCTCTGTCAGATACTGTTGGCACTTTAGCCCAAGTCGCGCCCATTGCCGGAGGCCCTTCGCCGTCTCTTTGTCAAGCGTAACCCCGGAGTCAGGGGCGGCCCATCCCCCACCCGGTCTGAAACGGCCACCCCAACACACTTCGCACCCCGAAGTAGTCCCGCTTCCACGCCGGGACCTTATTAGGAAGCTCATGTAAAAGCTTAAAACCCGGGTGAGAAGACAAGTAGTACACCCACCTACGCCCAGGGAGGAGACCCGCTTGCTTCTTAAGCATTAAGATGGAAGAGAAGATCTCCAAGTCTAAAGGAAAGTCCTGTTCGCAAAATAGGGAGATTGTCCCCACCAAATTACGAATGGAGTTCGGGTGAAGCTGGCCAACCGTAACGCCGAAGTGATTCAAGACCTCGACAAGGGATAGAAAGGCAATCGCAGCCCCGCAGCGAGCTGCTCCAGGAATATCACGATCTCGTCAGGACCGTGTTCCCAGGGAAAGCTACTCGAAGGTATGAAATAAGCGTACTCCCCAGGCAAATTATAATAGGTAATAAGGGATTAGAGCCCCTCGGGCGTCATGGTCGAGGGGCCAAACTTGTCTAACAACCGACCCCGACGAGAGGTGGACGCCAAACTACCCGAGGCGACTCGACCTACGGGTTCGAACTCTTCCTCGAGTTCTACCTCCGGCTCGCTAGAACTATCAGGGGATGCAACTCGGTTCGTGGAACTTGCATCTGACTCACTGGAAAAACCGTCTGATCTATCCGAGCTAGACATCGAGGAGAGGGTGGATTCCAGGAAGGTACTCACCTGCTAAAAAGCTTGAACGAAACTACGAGAACTTGAATGAGCAAAAAACCTTGAACGCGAACTGAAAGCCTGGACGCGAGCTGAAACCTGGACGCGAACTCAAGAGGCAGTGCAGAAGTGACAAACCGACTGGAGTCCCCCACTATTTATAACCACAGTGACCGAGAAGCAACAGCGCAGATCAAAGCCGATCCGACGGCCCGCAGTCACGCTGACCACACGTCCCCTGAGACCAAGACATGATTGGCGCACGTCTTTCTGAAACTGACATGCGCCGGCGCATATCTTTTTGAAACTGACAGAACGCCAACGCACGTCTCCTCACATTAAAGGCAGTAGTGGCACGTTTTCAAATTTGAAAAGACGCCTGCTGTCACGTCTCCCAGCGGCGCGCTTTTTGAATTTTTGAAATAAAGAGCACGCTGTCACATCTGTCAGCATTTGTAGGCAGGTCAGCGCGTTTCCCGCGTTATCAGTCAACCAAGATTCAAGGTACAGGACAAATCCACCGCCAGCTCGCGAACTCCCCGCGCCAGGGCAAGGCCCTTAGCACGAGGAGGGGGGGCAATTGATGAACGAAGATTTGGCCCGACCTCGTAATCACTCCACGTGGCAAAGGCGAACTGCTCGGCACAACAGCGCGCCCGAGGCGCGAGCACCGGAGGAAACAGCAGTCCGAACTCCCTACCAAGGCCCCGAACTCCCTACAAGGAGCCCAAACTCTCCCTTGAGCCCCGAACCTCACACAAGGCAATAACCCAAAATGGCCCGCCTCATGGCAGTTCGGGACACTCCCCTATCCGAACTCAAGGTCACCTCGCTCACCACTCCGACACTTCGCCTCCAGGATGCCGAGCTGAACAAACGTACCATACCTGACACAGGTCCGTATCCGCGGCGCACCTGACTGACTTGGGATCTGTCGCTTGACAGCCGCACTTCAACGGCCACCTGCCACCATCATCGCCAGTCGCAGAGACGGCTCCGACAAAGAGAGCAGTGGCGGTTCTGTCCAGCAGAGGGGATGACACCCGAACTGGCAGCGGCCCAGAGGTAATCATACCCGACCTGACAGAAGCTTAGAAGTGAGTGCGCGAGATGGTTATAAAAGGCTCCCTACCCCCGAGAACAAGGTATGTGAACTTTGCGCCATCTGGTTTTATCTTGCCTTTGAGAGAATTCTAACTTGAGCTTCGGAGCATTCATACCAGGTTCCCCCCGGAGCTTCCTCATCTTCTCCGTTTCAAGCTCCCTGTAGCTCTACCCAGAGGCAAAGTCGTTGACAGTTAGGACCAGCCGAATTGCGCACCATCAGATAGTAATAGTCTTACCAAATAACAGAGACTCTTCAAAGTCAAACAAACATCTATGCTAAAGATAGGAGCTCAGAGTTACATTAAATGTAGCATGGACTTGCTCACAGTCTGGTTTTAATCCAGAAAGAAATCAAGCCACATCAAAGCTCTCCCTATGTTGCTATTATCAAGGGTGAATGGCTGATAGACATCCAACTCATTATGATTGCTCTTGAGACTTGTATAGTGCTTCTTTAAGCTGTTATCACACTGCTATAATAAGAAACTCCTAGACTAGTTGGTAAACGCCCATAATATTGTACTAGCCAGAATACAACCTCCTAACATGGTTCCATATTGTTTTATAACCAGCTCATAATCTGTGCATTCTTTTGCAGCCATTCATCATAAACACAATACCAGTCACCTATTCAACCACCAACATAGCTGCTACTATACGTCACAGCATTCAGCCACCACAAGTTGGATTTCGGTACTCCTACAGCAGCCACCAAACATCATCACTACTCTTATCCAACAACAAAATACACTAAAATCATGTGACAACCTTGGCATTCATGCACTGCTACCAATCTTCACAACCAACAGCACCTAATTCCTCTTTGAACTGTCATATGGAGGGCTGCAATAACATGCACAGCACCGTGCAGTCAACCAAGATGATTGCTACCACTATAAAACATAACAGAGAAGAATCCTAAGGAAATTGCATGCCTCTAGGGTTCAGCTTCAGGAGAGAAAAGATAGACAAGAACCTCTTTATACTGGTATTCTAGAGAGACTGCATGCTTCAAATTAGCTCGGATACCATGTACTAATGTTTATTTGCTCTATACAGTAGGCAGAAAGAAAGAAGCGACAGTGGAAAGAAGAAGAAAGAGGAAAGAAACAAATGATGAGAGGTTAGGTGTCTCTTAACCAGTCAGCTGATAGTTGTAGTATTCTAATTTCATAGTATCATGACAATTCTTCCCCTAATAAGTGTGGGACAGTAAATAAAACATTGCTTAAGCAAACTTAAAATGAAGTGACACAAAATACCCATATGTCACACCTGCAATCTTAACATATACCTAAGCCATTGATTCAGGAGAGCTACTTGTTTTTGCCCAAACAGATTCACCAGCATGTAATAGAATTAACAAAATACCTCTTCAATTGGTACAGAGCCATTATCATTTTGTTGGTCCACGGAATGTTGTGATTGTGAATTATCTTCTTTCTGGTTGTGCATTTCCATTTTGTCGTCTTTGGGATGGACAATACTTGTAGCAGTGTCATCCTCTGGAATCTTCAGATCTGCTGGGAGCTGACCCGACTTCAAAGCCTGCCATGAAATTAAACAAAAGATGAATACACAAGTGTAAAACCAGAAAAAGGACAAAAAGGCAAAAAGGCAGGCACAAAGATAAAGAGAAAATGGACAGTAAACTATCTTCCGAAATAAGAAAATTAAGAAAATAAAAATAAAAACCTGTTCAAGCCTTGCAACCTCTTCAAGAGTTTGGGAATTTACAATTGCAGCCTGCATATATGACAAAGATGAAGAGATATTAATAATGAAATTTGAAACCCATATTCTTCACATTTACTGATAAAATAAGTAATAACAGAAATCTATACCCCAAGATCAAGTCACCATACAATAATAGACAAAGAAAAGGAAATTAAAAAAAGAAAAAAAAAAAACTCTTCAAACATTCTTTGTCATGTACAGGATACAAATAGGGATCATTCCCCTCCCTGTACTCTATCTCCCCCTTTAAAAAGGAGCCTGCTTCAAGATTTCTCTCCCTCAGTTCTCCCCTTGTCTTTGAATTGGAACTTTGTGTGTCATAGAGGTTTAAGGGATGAGGAATCTGCTTGTGTCTCTGAGCTCTTGCTTCTTTTGGACTCCGTTTGTTCGGACCACTCAAAACCCGATAGAAGAATTTGGACCCTAACTCCTAACGGTTCCTTTACTTGCGCTTCTTATCTCAACTCCTCTGTTCTGCCCCTCTCTCTTCGGAGTTCCTTGTCAAAGAAATCTGGTCAAGGCCCATTCCCCCTAAAGTAGTTTTCTGTTAGGAAGCCTTTTACAGTAAAATCAATACTATGGATAAACTTCAAAGTTAGAGACATTTTCTTTGTATATCCCCAAACTGCTGTATTTTGTGTGAAGTGCATAACGAGGATCACCATCACTTGCTCTTATCTTGTGTTTTTGCTGCTAATATTTAGAATTGAGTCTTTATGTTTTTTGGGTGCAGGTGGATCTTTCCCTTTGAAATAAACTTGCTTTTTGATCCGTCTACTTTTGGGCAGCCAACTAAGAGAGGGAAACTAATGTGGAAGTGCATCAGACAGCCATTTTGTGGACTATCTGGGAGGAAAGGAATTTTAGAATAGTCCAAGAAAATGAAAGAAGCATCAATGAAGTAAAGAAGTGCATTTTGACAAGAACAATTCATTGGCTAAAAACTTCAGATCTGTTCAGAGGTTATTCTTTTGATGATCTCTGGAAAAGTTGGGCAGAGGTGGCCTCCCCACCCCCCAAAAAGAATAGACTACAGATAGAGTGGAGACCTCCCACAAAGGGTGTGGTAAAGCTGAACTTTGATGACAGCAGTCTAGGCAATCAAGGGCCTTTGGGTATAAGAGGGATCTTAAGTGGTAAGGATAGAAACATCCTATCCCTATTCTCAGTACCAGTGGGAGTTGGCGATTCAACAAGGGCTGAGATACTGGCTGTGGTGCAAGGATTATAGGCCGCAAACCAACTAGGAGTAGAAAATCTGATACTTAAGGAGATTCTAAGGGGAGGTAGCATCTCGTGCTTGCTCTTAGGGTGAACGTACACTTCCTTTCTTATTAATAAAAGCATTATTCATTTATCAAAAAAAAATCATTGCTTGGTGCAATAGTAAAATCTTAGACTACCAAGTGGCCAGCAGGAGAACACGAGTTTGAGTCTGAGAGCAGCAAATTTGTGCAAAAAATTGCCAAAAATTATGTCCATATCCAGTACATCCCTCACAAGGCCCCCAGACAGTAGGGACCAACATTGGTTAACAACATAGATAAGAGTCAATGCACACACACACACATGGAGAGAGAGTGTGAGATTCCATGTCATAAAGCACAAACCCAATAACAAAAATCGCAAACATCTCACCTTAATAGCTATAATCTGCTCTGGTGTGGGAGCAACTGCTTTAGGGGTTTGTTCTTCCTTCAGAATATCTTGAACATCTGGCATCTCACCCGGAGTGAATGTCTTTGCAGATACTTTCTTAGCCTCCTCTTCAGCTTCTTTTGATGCAAACAGATTTTCTGCTTCAATTCTCTCCTATTCTCAAACATGATAACGAAAATCAAGCCATGGAGTGAAAAAACAGAAGAGAAGAAAAGGATTACATAAAATTTATAGGCTAGAAATAGAAAGATTCTAAAGATCAAAAGGTATGAATCATTAGAGAAAGCCCCGACTCATATATGCATGTTATAGAATTTTGGGTGGACTCATAACAAATGGGGAGTAGAACTTATTACTTTCCAACAAAATAAATACATTATGTATATGGAAGTAAGACATTACACCCACAATGCTTTAAACTTAAAAAAAAAAAAAAATACACATTACTATAGAGTATATAACTGATGCAAGTGTAAGGCCTATGCTCCATGGACACCTCAAAATGGAATACAAACAGTACCTCCATCAAACACATCTGCATATCAAAACTAAGATGACATTTGAGGGGAATTTTTTTTTATCGATAACAGCATAAATTCATTTCATTAAAGAATAGAAATAAGTGTACAACAAAGGAATTACAGAAGTAAATGTCAGACAATGTGAGAAAAAATCTCTTATTTCTCCCCCAACTGTTCCCTCATTAAAAACAGTACCCAGAACATAGATTCTCCCCCCACCCTGTGTTTGCCTAAAACATCAGGCTAACGAGATAGCACAGTATTTAGCCCAATTGAAGGAAATTTCCATATCTCTTGTCAACCACCTGACTTTCTTCTTTTCATTACTGTATATCCAACCCTCCCTGGCTGGTCCTGAGAAAAGAGGTAGAATCTAGCCTTCATCATCTCTGAAAACCCCACCACCAATACCAAAAAAAACCCTGGAGTACCCATGCTGCTGCCATCAAAATTAAGTTTAATGAACCCTCGTTCCGGAAGGGACCAGTAGTAATTGGAAATGGACTTAGTTGAACATAATTCAGCCACTTCCTCCTCTAAAGAGGACATCCATTGATACATTGGGAAAAAAAGTGTCCAAGGACTTCAGCTAATGTACCACTCTGATTATAATTATTTCCAATGACATATTCCTTGCTTCTCTCCTTCTCTACAAAGATTCTAGAGTACCTTTCTTCCCAAGTTATCCATCAAAATGCCACTCTTGAGCATCCCCACATAATTCTTCCCATTTTCTTTGGCCATACGAAGAAAGAGGGGACAATTAAACTTTGAACATCTGCCGGAGGTATCCACCTACACCCAGACAAGGAAAGAGACCATTCCCAAATAAAAGTAGTGAACGAACAAAGGATAAGCAAGTGGTAGAAACTCTCACCATTAGCCTTGCACAAGGTACACCATTGAGGCAATGAGCACCAATATGGTCATTTTCTTTGGATAAAGTCACAAGTATTAATCTTTTCATGAGCAACTTCCCAACAAAAAGCACTGATAGGGTTGGGCTTACACCATACCCCCTTAACTAGAACAAGAAGCACATTTTGGCAAAAGCAAAGCCCGAGCCCAGCCCATGAACAGGTCTAGTTACCACTATAACAATTGTACATAATAAAAGGAATAAAGAGTGGCAATACGGCATTGATGGTTTTCCAAGGAGAAGCCCAATTCGCCCTAGCCGAAGTTCTGCCATCCCATTCGTTGTCCAAAAGCCCACGAATGCTCAATATCACCTTCGTCCATAATTTATCCCTGTCTTGTGGCATTCACCAAAGCCATTTCCCCAGAAGAGTTGTATTCCTCCTTTGTAATATTACCTATTCCCAGAGCTCATGCATCTTTTCTCTACTCACCACGTCCTAGTTAATCCTATCATCCTGCTACCCTTCACTTGGTTCCCATAAAAAGTCCCTCGTTAACTTCTCTAACCTTTTGCCCACACCTACCGGAATCTTTTTATTAAGAGTAATAGTAAAATTTTATTAATTCAAAAACTGATTTAGAGTTGTGATTTCATACATCCCAGGGAGAGGTGCGAGCTACGGACCCTCCTAGAGTCATACAATTAAACTAGGAAAAAAAATATAGGAATCACAACTGAGCCCAAAACAATTCTTCCCTAATTACCCCTTGCTTGGCTACCACATTGGACAAAGTATTTGCTGATCTCCCCACCCACTGTAAAGAGATCAACATATTCCTTGTAACTTGGAAAGGGTCAAACTAATCAATGTTATTCTTCCACCCAGAAAAAGGTACCCTTTCTTCCAACTAGCCAGTCTCTTATAGAATCTTTCCATTATTGGGTTCTAGAAAAATGCCTCTTTTGTGTTAGCTCCTAGAGGTAATTAAGTCAACAACCATTGAGCAACATTACACCCTAAGATGCCAGCACACTCTGCAATCTCCCCCTCTTCCATATTTATCCCAACTAACTCATCCCCCTCACAAAACCAAATGGTATCATCTGCAAATTGCAAATGAGTAATTTTAGGATGACTCTACTTAAAACATCTGTGACTACCGTAAATAGAAAAGGAGAGAGGGGGTCTCCTTGTCTAATTCCATGCCTAGTAGGGAAGAAATCCACCAATGTGTCGCTAACTATTACCAAGTAGCGACAAGTCCTTAAACACCCCCAAATCCATTTTCACCATCTCTCTCCAAACCCATATTGTCTTAACAACCCCAATCAGAAACTGCCAATCAACCAAGTCATAGGCTTTATCCAAATCCAACTTATAGACTACACCATTTTTCCTTGATCTCTTCATTTCTCCTACACACTCATTGGCAATTAGTATTAGATCAATAATTTGTCCATCTTGAACAAAAACTCCTTGATTCACAAAAAACTAAGGAGGGGAGTACTTATCGGATTCTTAAGGACAAGACCTTACTAATTATCTTGTAAAGGGCTGGACTGGATTAGGAAGCCCACTCAGAGGATTTCATTGGTGAATTTGAATGAAAAGATGATATCACCAAATGGAGAACCAGTTGAGAAGGAGAAAAAAGATCAGCATTGTGGATAGATTAGAGGCCTAAGAGTTCGAAGAACGGCCAAATAATTCAAGTTTCAAGAAATTTCTCCCAAATGAGAATTGGCCTATGGGGAATCAGATCCCATAAAAGTAATAGGAAGATATAAAAGATAAAAAGGAGGCAGAGGTGGCAATCATTGATCCAAATTACCTAGCAATAATCAGATGGTAGAAACATCAAGTGAGAAGTCAGATTTGATGTCAATAAAAATTTTGACATTAGATTGAATTAAAGAGAATTTTGATGCAGATATTCAGGGGAAAATTCTTGAAGGAGTGGATTCAAATTTGTTGGGCAAAGAAGAGGCGGGGTAAAGCAACATGGTTCATGGCACCAAGTACTTTGCAGACAGCATTCTTTGCTAAAGATCCTAATTACCAGTTTATCATCAATTTAAGTAACTTTGTACAATCTAAACGCAGTAAAGTGTCGATATCTTTTATTAAGGTTTATTTTCATTTAAGAAAGTTAAAAGTTACTTATTTTAGATAACCTAGCAATTTCACCTGAAAACGGGGGGAAAGTGAACCACTACAATGAAAAGGTGTAACATCAGTGGAGAGACAAGACAGTAAAAACTAAAAAAACAACACAAACTAGAACAAACGTGAAATACCAAACAAACAAATAAATATATAACATGAGCACCTCAAAGAAAGAAAATTCTCATCTACCTCTTTCCTTTTAATTTAACAACAGCCCCTTTTAACTTCAGATATAATCTCACTGAAGACGTTCTTAGATGAAGTGGTCAATCAAAAGATCAATTTGCCAGACAAGTRTGCCACATTCCTAACTATGAATAAGGTTCCCCTAACATTCTCTAAAAATCCTTAGCCATGCTTTGGACAATTACAAGGAAAGGCCATCCGCTGCTTGAACAACTAATTT